CCCAGAGCCCTGCAGGTCGCTCCACGGCCTAAAGGGGGAGGCAGAGGCTTAAATGACACAGCCTTGCAGGTGGTTAAAAAACATGTATTAAGTCCACATTATGCATAAAATCTGAAATAAGGCAGATCTCGGTGCAGTGTATGTACCCCCCACACTGAACTCCAAACTGTACGAGTTGCTTTACTCTCGCTGCCACGTGCATAGCAGCCACCTGAGCTGGTCAGTAGAAATGTCCTCTGCCTTTGAGGAATTTGTCACCAGCATTGGGGTTACGGATGTGAGGAGGAGTGTGAGGGGGTGTTAGGTTCTGAGACTCCCATGCCAGGGTGCTTGCTCCCCTGGGGCAGGGATAGTGTTGCTCTGCCCTCAAGCCTGGCACAGGGCCTGGCCTGCGGTTGGAGCTCAGTAAATATTAGCTAAGTGGCCGAAGTGGGACGACTCCATCCTGGTGGGAAGGCAGGCACTGGGAGCTGAAGAAACACGGTGACTCAGCCGAGCCCTTGGCCTCCTGGAGGGATCTCAAACCCAAGGGCAAACACAGGCTTTTCTCAGGATCTTGTGGGAACAGAGTGCTTCCTCATTTGTCAGAACGTTCTGCAGGGGTTCTGGGGCCCCCCTGAATTCTGGCCTGGCTCTGCCCTGATCCTATGAGACCAGGGAAGCGCACACACACCCTGCCCCATTGTCGGGGGGCCATCAGGGTTGAGGATCCTCACCCTCTGTGCTGACCTTTCACTTCTGCTCGGCTTTGACCCAGTGAAGCACTGTCCCCGGGGGCCGGTAGGCGGCAGTGGTGCGCTAGTAAGCCAAGGTTCCCCACTGGAGGAAGAGCCCTGATTTGTACCAATTGCCAATTCCTGTGGTGCAAATGCTCCCACGGTGGCCACCCAACCTGGCGCTGGGAGAGAGGTTCAGTGCTTCGTGCATGCCCCCCCCTCACGGAGAGAATCGGCCGCCCCCGAGCATAGATGACACGCAGCACAGTGTGCGTGTACTGCCTATGTCCAGTGTCCAGCAGGGGTTCGTATACATTCATTCATCCGTGGTGCCTCTTTAACAACAGCTTGCAAAATCCCCCGGGAAAGAAAAGATCGGCTCCTCTCTGAGCGTGGAGCCTTTTCCTGCCTGCTCTGGATCTGGGCAGCTCTTGTCTTTAACCTCCCTGTGCCTAAGGAGTGGGTCAGCAGTTCAAAGCCACCAGCCATTCCACAGGAGAAAGGGGCTCTACTGTTGTTCACTACTCATTCCCATTCTGTTATAATAATTAGGAGCAGCACAGTTCCTGACAGGAAGATTACAGATTTCAGATCACTCCACAGCACATGCCCCTCTAAACGTGCAAGCGTTGATTTTAGTGGAAAGAGGCGGTCATTTTACCATGTCACCTTGGACGTGACCAACCAGCAGTGCTAGGTCAGCACACCCAAAGGATGGAGAACGTCTGGGTCACGCTGCACATGCCCCCCCCAGAGGAAAAAGGCATGTACCAAAAGTATATGCCTCCGGCTTACTGGTACAAAATTATACTTCTTCAGACACATTCCAGGAAAACCTGTTACATTCAGTTGGAAATTGACACTCAAAGGGGGGAGGGGAGCAAAAGTATTTTCAACATGAAAATACAAAGGACGTTGTAATTGGAAAAATTTGGGTGAAACCTTCTATCACCCGTTTAGCTCTGTGAAAGGGGCAGGGCTTCCTTATAATGGGCATTTCTTCAGGTTTTTCCTAAGTTGCCTGTTATCCCAGACAGGCACTTAAAACTCTGGGGCTAGAACTAAGGTCAGCAAAAGATCCAATGCTGTGCCCCTCACAACAATTTGAACATTATTTGAGCCCTGTAACTATGTCTTTGACAAAGGAAATCAGTATTACCTGAATATATCCTTAATATTTTTTCAGTTTTACCCCAGAGCCACGTACATACCCAAAGAGGATGCTTGTGGGTTGCCAGCCCCTGGGCTAGAAAGATGAGGCTTTTTCTGCCTAAACAGTTACCTCAGCTGCCCAGCCCGAAAGATGGGCGTCTCTTTGGAAGGCACTCACCAAACGCCCGGGGAGTCATTGATTATGAGCACCATTCGTGTGAAGGCAGACAACTGGCCGGCCCAGAGACGAGGCTGTGGGGTAGCCTCGCGCTATGCCCAGGTTGTGTCAGGCGCTGGGGCACCCGCCTCGGTCCTGCTGGTTACGGGTATTGTCACCCTTGTGGCTTTCTGCTTCCTCTTTCCCCGTGGGTGCCCACTGGGTCGGGTGTGGACGTTTCTGTACCCTGCTCTGACTTCAGGGGGCGGTGCCAGCGTCCCGTGCCAGGAGCGAGCACACTTGCCACAGTAACCACACCCCAGGGCATGGCTCTGACCCCACCCCTGCTGCTGGTCCCCGGAAAGGGGGTGGAGTGGTTGCCCCGAAGCCAGGCAGCTTCCGGAGGAATATAGCATCCACTGGGCAGGACCCCGTTGTGCTTGTATCCGCCCAAGGGTTACCAGTTCAAAGCCTCCCCCAAGGCGCTGCCATCCTACTCTCTTAACACGAGTCGAATTCTAGCCCCCAGCAATGGCTTTGGCACCCCTGAATCAGATATGGGGAAACAGGCACGGAGATGTTCAGCAGCCCCTGCCCTAGAGGGGTGGCAGCGAGGTCCGGCCGCACGCATCTGGTTGCAGCGCCTGCACTGGGGACCAGCCCCGTCCTTCCCTCGGGAGCCCAGCCCTGCTGACCGGGTCTCCCCTCTGCCCGCAGGCACCGGGAGCCTGGCTGCTGCAGTGGAGACAGCTTCGGGGCGCCAAGCCCTGGTGGTGGGGAAGCCCAGCCCCTACATGTTCGAGTGCATCGCGGAGCACTTCAGCGTGGACCCCGCGCGCATGCTCATGGTGGGCGACCGCCTGGAGACCGACATCCTCTTCGGCCACCGCTGCGGCATGACCACCGTGCTGACGCTCACGGGGGTCTCCCGCCTGGAGGAAGCCCAGGCCTACCTGGCGGCCGGCCAGCACGACCTGGTGCCCCACTACTACGTGGAGAGCATCGCGGACCTGATGGAGGGGTTGGAGGACTGAGCCCCCTGCCCTGCCGCAGCAGCCCCGGCCCCCCCCCTCCCCCCCAAGGCCTCCGGTCCCCGGCTAGAGGTTTGGAGCTGGAGCTGCATCCTGTTCCACTAGCCCCACCTGCACCCTGGAGGGGGGGGGTCATCCCTCCTCCCAGCAGTGCTAGACACTCTGGTGTCCCAGACGCCACCCCTCCCTCGCCGGTTAACCTTGTCACCTTCCCTGCCGCCAACAGATGACGCCCCCCCACCCTGAGCACTTGAACTCCCTCCCCATGGCTCTCTGCCTCAGTCCTGGCCCTTGGGTTCCCTCGCCCAGTCAGAAGCCTCGGTAACCATAAAGCGTTCTTTCTTGAGCCCTGAGTGAGCCAACCAGAAGGCTAAGTGATGGCATTCATTGATGTTGGGTCACTCTCGGATGTCGGATCCCAAGGAGACCCAACGAGCCTTGGTGGCCTACCATAGTTGTGCACTTGGCTTAACTAAGAGGTTCCGGGTGTGAACCTAAGAGAAACGGCCTCACATCCGCTCCCATGAAAGTGACCTCTTAGGAAACCCTGGGGGTAGTTCTATGCTGTCATAAGGGGGCATCAACTCGGGACACAACAGTTGTCCCCTGGGAGCCTGTGTGGATCAGTCAGGAAGCTAAGCAACAGGGTCCTTAATCTGCACTAGGTCCAGAGTGGGTCAGCCAGGGCTCTGAGTACTGACCCACTGGCCTCTCAGACCCTGAAGGACAGCGTCCTCTTGACAATCGGTGGGACTGGCCCAGCCAGGGGTCCAGGTTCCAGATGACAAGTAAGGGTCCAAATTCCAAAGACACCCCACCCCCACAAATGATGTGGCTCTGATGGCCTCTGGGTAGCTGAGCCCTCCCCTCCCCTGACAGTGGTAGCCCACCCAGTGGGGCTGGTGGTCACAGCTTGGCAGAGGGCACTCTTGGGCCCTTCCCTGTGCTGTCAGTGTTTGCTGTGTCACCTCTCCCCGGGGCCCACCCCCAAGTATTTATTTATTTATTTCTTATCATGTGCCACTGCTGGTGTCGGGGGAGCAGGGTCTTTCCCGCGGCTGTG